GGGGTGGGGGCAGGGAGAAAAATGTGCAACAATGAGCGAATGGAAATCCTAGTTCTCTGTAAACTTTCATTAAAATCTCAAGAATTTTTTTTTTTTTAAAAAAAAAAAGAGAGGCAGGGAAGAATAACAGGGCTGAGGAGAGTCAGAAATGCTGTCAACTTTCTACAGCTCTGCCCAGAGCATGAGCATGTCACTTCTCTGCAGTCCTTCGACATCTCATACCTCACAGCATGGAGTTCAGTGTCGTAGGTATTTAGTCTCCAACTACCTCTCTAAGTTTATCTGTCCCATTACTGTCTGAAACCACATACAGCATAGAACTCATGGCTGTTTCCAAGATACCACCTCACGCTTTCATACTTATAAGCCTTTTGCACTATTATTTCATAACATAATGTTATTGTTGCTGTATTTGTTTTCTTTCCTGTATTTCTTCCACCAAAATTCTTTTTTTTAAATTTTTATTACTTTTAATGAACATTTACAGAGATTTTGGATTTTCATTCATTCATTTTTGCACTTTTCTGCCTCCTCCTCTCCCCGAGTTTGCTCTTCTCTTTGAAAAGTGAAAGAAAAATTCCTTCAATGTTATACAATCCCCAACCCCCGGCCCACCCCAAGTGCACTCAACTGGGCAACTTTCATTCTGGACTCTTGTGATAACCATAATACCCTATCATATATCTCATTTAACCTGTTCTCTCCCTCATCTTTTCGATTGCCGTATGCATAATTTATCCAGTCTTTCTCATTCTTATCCCAACCCTGATGTCAGTCCCATTCTACAACAGTGGCACCATGCAGTGTTTGTCCTTTTGTGACTCAGATACTTCACTAAGCATAATGTCCTCCAAGGTCACCCATTTTGAATAAAATTGCATGAGTTCCTTGTTTTTCAGTGCAGTGTGGTATTCCATCGTGTGAATATACCACAGCTTCTCTATCAGTTCGTTTGTTGACGGGCACTTGGGTTGTTTCCAACTCCTTACCCTTGTGAACAAAGCCACAATAAACATGGGTGTGCATATATCTGCTTGGATGGCAGTTATGGTCTCTTTGGGGTATATGCCCAGTAGTGGAGTTGCTGGGTCAAATGGTATCTCTATTGGCAACTTTTTGAGAAAGCGCCATACCTCTTTCCACAGAGGTTGCACCATTTTACACTCCCACCAACAGTGAATAAGGGTTCCAGTTTCTCCACAACGTCACCATCATTTGTTGCTTGCTGTTCTGTTAAATTTTGCTATCCTTACTGGGGTGAGATGATATCTCATAGTTGTTTTGTTTTGCATCTCTCTTAGAGCTAGGGAGTTTGAACATTTCTCCATGTGCTTCTTGGCCATCTGAATGTCTTCTTTGGTGAAGTGTCTGTTCATATCCGGTGCCCATTTTTCAATTGGACTATTTGCCTTTATCTTGTTGTGGTGCTCACGTATTTTATAAATTCTATATATATATATGGGACCTGCTGAGAATCAAATCCCTATGGACATCCACAAACTTCTCCAACAGGATAAAAAGGGGAGCCACAGACTGGGGAAAAAAAGTATTTGGTAATGACATGTCAGACAAGGGACTTTTTTTTTAATTATTTTATTATTTTTTTATGTGAGTGTACCATCAAATCAGATCTGACTGGTACAGGAGGAAATTGTCCCTCCTTCTCCGGCAGAGCATCTGGTGGATTCGAACTGTGTACCTGTGGGATTGCAGTACAGCTTCTTGCCATTAGGCCACCAGAACTCCCCTAGATAAGGGACTTTTATCTGCCAAAATTCTTATTAGATGACTGGTTTTAATCAAGTTGAAAGCATAATTTGAGTGCTGGTTTTCATAAGCTGTTTGGAGAATATAACTTAATTGATTAAAAAGACGAGTGAGTTACATATTATTTTTATTTTAAATAAGGTAGTAGTTTTAATGGAGACAGGACACATCCCTGGCGCACACCCTTACCGATTTTGAACCATGCAGTGTTTCCTTGCTCTGTACTCATGACTGCCTCTTGATCCAAGTATAGGTTTCTCATTAGCACGATCAAGTGTTCTGGGATTCCCATTCTTCTGAGAGGCAGCCACAGTTTGTTATGATCCACACAGTCAAACGCCTTTGCATAATCAATGGAACACAGATATACATTCCCCTGGTATTCGCTGCTTTCAGCTAAGATCCATCTGACAATAGCTACAATATCCCTAGTACCACAACCTCTTTTAAACCCAGCCT